AGACGTGAGTAGGGCTCTGATTTGTAGCTGAAGGCAGGAAGGGAGCGGTGGATGTTGATGAGGCTGCAGAGTGTGTGAGAGAGGCAGTTTTCGATGCTTGGTCCTCTAAAGTAGTGGTACCCAGTCGTTTTGGCTTGTGGGCCCTGAAAATGAAGCTATGTTTACTGGTGAACTCTAATAACAAGAGCAAGAGTTTTTCCTTCATGTGAAGGACGTTCAGAGGCCTGAAGAGGTGAGAGTATCCAGTATTTCACTTGAAATGTCAACATCATGTGAAACAAAAATATTCTTTTGTTCTCTTTAATCATCTCTTGGCCCTTCAGATTTTGTGTTACCTCCCCAGGTCCTGACCCCAAGTTGGGAACCGCTGCTTAAAAAAAATGTGAAAAACACAAAAACTCTCACTTTATCAAAAGCGGGAATTTGTTTACGCCACATGACCAGAATCAGAGGAATTTGTTTCTAGTGCAAAACTGTCTGCAGCACATGTATCATTAGGTATACACACCTGTAGAGTCTAAGGTGTTCTAAAGGTGTTCCTAATATTCTGACCCCTTCATGTATGTAAACTGGGAAGACAAAACTTTTTCTCAGTATAATGCTTAACTATTTCCTCCGTAATAAACATAATTAGATTTACACATTTCCGTGGTGCAGGCCTTTATGTTTTTAGACAGATTTTATTTTTGAGCATTTTTTTCTTTTAAGAATAAAACAGATTTATAAAATCTTTGAAATTTTACGCATTAGCCGGTGAATACTGACAGTTACAGCTGCTCATGTTGCTGGGAAACTCATTTGGCTAAAAATGACTCATACACAAACGCTGTTGTTTCGAGGTTTATTGGTATTGACACAAGCCTGTTTATTTACAATGTTACCTGCAGCAGATTTGTGAAACATTATGCAAACTGTGAAACTGGAAACTTCAGTTTTGGTTGGGAGGCTGAAAAGTTTTGTCAGAGGGCCAGATTTGGTCCACGGGCCGTTGTTTTTCCTGCCACTGATCTCTACCTTTCTTATGCCCGTTTTGCCGACATGGATTATTATGAGACAATGGGCTCCTGGGCACAGACATGTAATTGTGTCTCTTCTGTGATCTGTTTATGTCTATTTCACTCATTTTACAGATCTTTGTGGTCTTTTTGAATTTCTTCTAGTTGTTTTGTGTCTCTGTGGTCATGTTGCATATGTTTGCTGTCAGTTTGCATATTCGTGCTCTTTGTGGTCATTTTGAAGCTCTCTGTATCTTGTTCGACATATTGTTTGGTTGTTTTGCTTCTGTTTGCAGTCATTTGATTGACTTTTTGATTTTTCCATGTGCCGGTGATCAGATTTAGTTCCTGTTGGACAGAGCCAGGCTAGCTTTCCTTCCTGTTTCCAGTCTTTGTGCTAAGCTAACAGGCTGCTTGCAGTAGCTGTTACTGCAGCTCCAACAGAGAGTGAATAAAAGTATTTTTCAAAATGTGAAACTAAGTCAGGTTTTTTTAATTATCGTCACATCTCATGTGTCAAAGTCTAATTTTTAACCTTCATCGTTTTAGTTTATATTGTTCTCACATGGAGCATATTCCTAAATGAAGTTGCATGTAATAAAATGACCACAAACTGGGACAGAAAATAACTTTTGACCAGGTAGTTTTATTCCAGCACAGGAGCTCTGGCTGGTCTCTGTATTTGAACTGATTGAGAGGAAGGAGGTGATGTAGTACACACTGGGTGGATGATGGGAGCTCACCAGGCACCCAACAGGTTACTCCAACCATGGTTGCTTTAGTTTATTGTTAAAATGTTTTAATGTTAGAGGATGAAGCAAAGAGGTGAGGATTTATTGTCACTTTACCTACAAAGTCTGATTTACCTGTTGCCTCTCACCTGTCTCAGTTTGCACGGTGCCTCCTGGTCCCGTGTCGATCTCAGAAAACAACACGGCTGATGTCCAGCTGGTACAAGTCCGCTCCAGCAGTGATGTGACACTGACGGTCACAGTGAACCCTGAAGATCTGTTCTACCTGAGGGGAAATGCCCTGATGGTGAAGAAAGGCCTGGACTACGAGGTGATTTTACATTCTTCACATGTAACACAAATAAAGTCCAAGCAGGAAAAAACAGATGGTCGACTAATTTTAATGGTTTTAGACCAGTGGCTCTCAAAACTCTGGGATGAGTCCAACAGGGGGAAGTGGGCATGACATTGAAAGAATATGATTCATGATGGAACAATAACCAAACATGTGCTCTGATATCTGCAATTACTGGAGCAATTAAGCCTCATGTCTACAAGATTTATTCTAAACAAAACTCCATGTACAAGACGGGACAAGTTTTTAACTGGAAACAAAGAAGCTGTTCATTAATTATCAATATAATAGGTGAGTTATTATCTGTGCAGTTCTTGGCTGTTTAAATTTTTACTTTGCACATTAACTTGTTGCTCGTTGCTAAAAATGAATTTGATTTATGCAAAAAAAATTTTTTTGCTGTGTGAAGACCCAGATAAAAAATGTAAACTTCAGGTCCCTTCAGCAAAGGCAGCCAAAATGCCCCTCCAGCTAACTTAGTTTAGCTAGCTGTACCCCAGGGCTCACCTGAACTTACCTTTTCTGTTCCTCGGTGGAAATTGTGGAAATTCGGACAGAGAAATCGAAGCGACCGGACGAGTTCCCTGAACGCAGCGTTTTGAAGTTTTTATTTTTGTTATTGTTTGACTTCCGGTTTTGTTATTTTTGGTGGGGTTATTTTTGATTGTTTTGTTATTTTTTTCACATACATAATGACACTAGTGGGTTGGCGTCCTTCCTCTCTGGACCATCTTCAACGCTGTTCGACGTTTAGACTGAACCTGACTCACCTGCGGCAGGTGAGGATCAGCTGACAGAGGAGAACACCTCATGCACTGAAGCCCTTGCGTAGAATTCACACTGAAACGTGGCGTACGCCCGAAACTGGAAAGATGCGTACGTAAGCACCTAAAAAATTCACATGTATGAAACCGTGCGCGCGCAGGGTTTCACGCACATTTTCGCAAATAATTATTTTTTCTTGAACTTTATTCACGTTCTCTTGATTGAAATGAGTCTTTATTTACATCCACGCTCTGTTTTCAATAGACTCTCACATTGCATGAAGCAACGCGAGACTATGAGACTTTGCAAATGTTTTCCAACTTTATGCGTTAGTTTATCAACAGAGATAGAAGTGCGCTATTTGATAGATTCCCCCGCCCCCTCCCCATTAACACCACCTCTGACAGTGACAGGAGACCTTCTCAGCAGAAGCTGCGCAAACTGTAAAGGGCGCCTGCTGTGATCCACATGACGTCATTGACGTGATGTGCAAATGTAAGCAGATGTGGTTCAGTTTTAGCATAGGTATGTTTGTCGGTGCTCACCCTTTACTGTGCAGATGTGGACTGTCTCTTCAGCGTGTGCATGCGGAGGACACACTAGTGGTCACAGGGCACCTTAAATTATCTATATTGGTGTTTTAAAAGCCTTTCAGTGGGCAGCTGCTAATGTAGCTGATGTTTTCTTGTTTCTTGTTTTTTTTTAGTCATTGTCCAGTGCAACTCTGGTGGTGTGGGTGCAGTGCCGCAGAGCTGGCTCCAGATCTGTGAGTAGAGTCACATAAAACACAATAGCACATGCTTTGTCAAGATAAAAGCCACTTATAAAGAAAAGGTTCAGATGCTGTTTGTTTCTCTTTGATTCAAAATGTATTTCTGGATTCAGGCTGAGCTGATCCAGTCCCTGCTCTTCTCTCTCTCTCCCTCAGGTGAACGAGTCTGTTGAGGTCCTGGTTGAAAATGTGAACGATAACCCCCCAAACTTTGCACAAAACCACTACGTACTAGAAGTGAATGAGGTGAGCGGTGCTGGGGTTTCACATTAGTCTTCATTCTTAGTTGTTACTCCGGACACAACGATGACTCTGAGTCTTGTCTCCTGCAGCTTACTGCGATCAACTCCAGCGTTGGACTGATAGAAGCTACAGACGTTGACTCAGAGCCTCTGTTCTATCGCCTGGAGTCAGCAACAGTAAGTTTCTACTGTAATGATTGACTGGACTCTACTCTGTGGTTTTATTCTTTTAGAGAGCAGCAGGGTGCAGAGATTAATGTCATGTTGTCATGCAACGTCATGTTGAGGGTGACGAGATGACTAAGGGGATAAGAAATAAAATCTCTTACATAAAATTCTGTTTGAGCGTGGAGGCTCAGTCTTAATTCTCAGCACCAGTTTAACATCATTAGGTGAAGAAGGCTAGGAAATGCAGTCGAAAGCTCTCTAAAAAGGTAGTGAGTGAACTTTGAATTTAGAATATTTCATCCCAAAATTCAGTTAAATTTCCTTCTGGGTTTTCTGAGACAATCAGAGAAGAAAAAAAAATCTCACTGCTCACAACTCGTCCACATTGATGAAGGGTGACAAGGACATCAAAAACACTGGGAACCACTGTCTTCAGATATATTCCCTCCCACTGTTATGAAGACAACACTCAGGTTTACAGTATGTGTCATCAAAAGACACTAAATAAAGCACTTACACATCACGCACACATCATCTGTCATGTATGAATCAGATGCAGATTTTTTAATTTGGCTGATCTTCTTTATTTGGTGAAATAATCAATACGTTCTCATATAAAACACTTACTATTATTACAAAAATTATTATATTTATATAAATTTTTATTCTCTTCTCTGTCTGTCTGTTAACGCAGGATAAATACTTCCGCTTGGAGAACATCAACACGCCAAAGATTCTTGTGAAAAGCCTCTTAGACTACGATGTCGTACAGAAGATCTCTCTGATTTTACATGTGCAGGTACAGTAATCATGAATACACTAAATAACATCCAGGTAGGCGTTGCTTCTCTTTGACCTTTGACCTGTGAAATGTGTCCCCGTGCTCCAGGACACGTTCAACGGTTCGGCCTCCAATGAGCCGTTCTTCACCTCTGTGGCCACAATCACGGTTCAAGTGAGGGACGTTGATAACCGACCGCCGTGGTTTCAGCCATGTCTGAGGACAAACTTGGGAATCGCCAAACTGTGTGTGAGCAGTGGCTACAGAGGGAGAGTGAACCTGACGGAGAAAGAGGTGAGAGATGAGTCTGTTTCAAAGATCTTTTATCTGAAGAGACGTTCAGACAGGAGATGAACAAAAGGAGGAGTAAGGTGTTACCATGATCCTCTAGACCAGATTCAGTGCTGATAATTTGATTAAAAAAAGATATTTATATGTATTCAGTGATTAGGCAGATGGAAGTTATTCTTACTCTGCTCACAGATTGTGTAGAAAGGTGCTGATGAAACAGTGAAAACTGTCACTTCATGTTTAACTACCCCTGAGATGTCACATGTTGAAAGCTCGTCATTGTTTGCTATTACAGAATCGTCTGTGAGAAAATGTCTGGGTGTAAATGAATAAGAATGTTGGCTGCAGAATACATGTGTGATGATTTTAATCCACAGGAAGGGCCGCTAGTGCTGGAGCCCGGCCCCGTGTTCGCCAAGGACGGAGACAAGAACCGGAGCGAGCAGATCAGCTACAGGATCCTTCGAGGTCTGAACTGTTCAACACGTTGTCTTCATTTACTTCCAGTGGTCACATATTTGTAAATGTAAATGGTCACTGGAGCTCATTAACATTCAGAACACCATTGGAATTAATGTTTCATACATATTATTTTCACAGCTAAAGAAAACTCAACTAGTTCCTTCGTGGAGGATTTATTGGAGGGTTGTTGTGTTAGCAGTTCACAGTTACCCCCAATTAAAATTCAATTGTGTCTTTATATGTTGATGTTTTTTGTTTAAACTGTTTCAGAGAAGTGCTGATACAACTTTACTATCAATTTCGAGGCTGTTGAGTTTTATTGCTACCACTAATACTATACTGAGAGGTGTTTGTAATATTATGCCCAAGGTAGACTAAATACCTAAAGCCTGCAGCCTCCCAAATGATCATAAAGTTGAATCAACACCTCTATAAAACATAAACTGAACATAACAAACTTTATGAAGGTGAGTTTATTGTAGGACTGTTGTATTAGCCTACATTAGTTTTAGCTAGGTGTTCCTAATAAACTGAACAGCCTAAATGAATAGTTACTGAAACTTTATGAATAGTTTCTGTGTTGTAATAAGCTAATTGGGGAATGTGCTTGTACATTTACTACTGATTTGTTTCATCCTCAGGGAACGAAGGAAATATTTTCCAGATTGATGAAGACACAGGAAATATCACCATGGCTAAAGCAGCTGATATTGTCGGCCCGATAACTCTCACTGTTCTGGTAAAACAAATTATTTCCTGCAGAGACTCTGAATTGAAATTAAGCTATTTAGTCATTGTTTGTGATTTAAGACAGACATTAACTTGGATATAACTCTTGGACTAAAACACTTTTCGGTCTCTCCTGGCCACCAGGCGTCTCAGGTGACCAACAGGGATCAGTTTGCGGTGACACAGGTGACCATCGAGGTGATGAAGAAGAGCAGGAACCCTCCTCGCTTTGAGAAGGAGCGATACGAAGGATTTATCTACAGCAACTCTGTCCCTGAGAGCATGATCCTCCGAGACCGAAGCACCAACCGGCCCTTCAGGGTCCGAGCCCGGGACGAGGACTTCGCCACTGTGAGTGCTCAGTGTTAAAATTCCCATAATATTTTTATTTATTTACTTTTTTTTTTTTTTTACAATATCTTTGCAAAGAAGTTAATTTTCTTTGACATTTTGCAGATAACTTGAGTTGATCAAAAGCTCGACTGATAAGATAAGCATGAGGTCAGTTTGTCACAGTACTGGGCCCTGATTGGCTGACATAAAGCAGTATCAAAATAGTTAAAATTTATTTATTTATTTTGTGCATTTTTGTGTGTGTTTATGTTTGTGTGTCAGGGTGTCAATCCAGATGTGAAATACGAGGTTCAGTACAGCAGCTACGTCAACGTGACCTCAGACGGTTTTATGATCCTGAAGAGAGTTGTGAAGACGGAGTCCTTCGCACTTCAGGTGACTGATTTGCAAAAACGTTGTTTACTAGCACATAGAAGCATCTCTGCTCACTTTCACTGAGACTTCTTTCAGTTTCCTGTGTTGTAAACGTGTTTTTACTGCCTGCAGCTCAGAGCGGTGGATACGACAACGGGGGAGTTTGGCACGGCAGCGCTCTCTGTTCAGGTCATACCTGGTAAGACCATCAGAGTTGCTCTCACTGATACTGACTTCTTGCTGTGTCACATTATTATCCTGATTTGTCCATAACTAAACCCAGAAACACCAATAGAAGAGATGTTGTTAGTTTGCTTTTCCCACCAAACTAAATGTGTTTAGTTTGTTTTAAGATTTTAAACCTTGAAAACAACCATCAATAGGCAGGATTCACAGGCCACATACTCACAGTCATGCAGACCCAACACCTCACTGAATGATGTTGTGGGAGATGTCTGTATAATCAAATTTTAAATGTCATGTATTTTAATGAATAGGCAGCCATGCACATAAAATAACAGATAGGGGATGATCGTATCACCTGTCACTGAAAAATCTCATTTTCATAAATATTGTCATATTCTGCATATGTGAATGTTTTTTTTTTTCTTGCTTTTGTTTTTGTTAGTCTTGATTCACTGATCCATCTTCTCTGCAGCTGTGGCCACCCCATCCCCCTCAAACATCGGCTACCGTCCGGGCGACATGGCTCTGCTGGGTCTGATCATGGCGGCTGTGCTGGTCCTCTGCCTCATTGTGATTGGCTTTCTGATTTCCCGCTTGTGGAAGGGAAACAATAGTATGGACAAAATATGTGAGGTCAGTCCATTTTCTTCTTTGAGGTTTCATCTCTGAAATATCCAAAGTCCACTCATCACTTCAGACATTATATACATTGGTGATGAAAGTTTTAAACAGGAAAGGTTTTGTAAAAGGGTGTAGGTGTGGTCTACAACAACCCCTTTGGCTTTTTAATGCCGTCAACCCAAACGGTTTATTAACATACAAGATCTGAATTTACATTCATGAATGCCAATACACAAATGTGACATATATACATGTGTTGAATGATGTTGTTATGTGTTACTATACTATGTATTATCAATGGTGAAACTTGGTGGTGCAATGGTTAAAACTGTTGCTTCACAGATCAAATCTCAGCTCCAGCCTCCTCCCTCACTCAAAAGACATTAGTTTAAAAGGTAATTCTAATGCCTTACAATACTAGAACTTTTCATGACTCACTATTCTATGACGTTTGTATGAGTTTTTATGCCTTGCAATACTACATTGAATTTGTGACTTTTTATGCCTAACTATACTATGACCTTTTAGGCCTTACTAGACTATGACTTTTTAGGCCTTACTATACTATGATGTTTTTATGACTTTTTAGGCCTAATTCTACTATGACGTTTTTACGACTTTTCATGCCTCACTATAATATGACTTTTTAGGCCTTACTATACTATGACGTTTTTATGACTTTTTAGGCCTTACTATACTATGACCTTTTATGACGTTTTTTATGACTTTTATTATCTTACTATACTGTGACTTTTTATAACTTTTTTTATGCCCTACTATACTATGTTTTTATGACTTTTTATACCTTACTATACTATGACGTTTTTATGACTTTTTATGCCTTACTATACTATGTCGTTTTTTTGACTTTTTATGCCTTACTATACTATGACTTTTTATGCCTTACTATAATATGTTGTTTTTTTACTTTTTATGTCTTACAATACTATGACTTTTTATGCCTTACTATACTATGACTTTTTATGCCTTACTATACTATGACTTTTTATGCCTTAGTATACTATGTCGTTTTTTGACTTTTTATGCCTCACTATACTATGACTTTTTTAAGCCTTATCATACTATGACGTTTTATGCCTTACTATACTATGTTGTTTTTTTGACTTTTTATGCCTTACTATACCGTGACTTTTTTAAGCCTTATTATGCTATGACGTTTTTATGAATTTTTATGCCTTACTATACTATGACTTTTTATGCCTTACTATAATATGTTGTTTTTTTTACTTTTTATGTCTTACAATACTATGACTTTTTATGCCTTATTATACTATGACTTTTTATGCCTTACTATACTATGACTTTTTATGCCTTACTATACAATGTTGATTTTTTGACTTTTTATGCCTTGCTATACTATGACGTTTTTATGACTTTTCATACCTTACTATGTTATGTCGTTTTTTTTTATTTTTATGCCTTACTATACTATGACTTTTTTAATCCTTATTATACTATGACGTTTGCATGACTTTTTATGCCTTACTATACAATGTCAATTTTTTTACTTTTTATGCCTTACTATACAATGTCGATTTTTTGACTTTTTATACCTCACTGTAGTATGACTTTTTATGCCTTACTATACTATGTCGTTTTTTTTACTTTTTCTGTCTTACTATACTATGACGTTTGCATGACTTTTTATGCCTTATTTTACTATGACTTTTTATGCCTTACTATGCTATGTCGTTTTTTCGACTTTTTATGCCTTACTATACTGTGTTGTTTTTATGACTTTTCAAGCCTTACTATACTATGTCGTTTTTTTTACTTTTTATGCCTTACTATAATATGACTTTTTATGCCTTACTATACTATGACGTTTTCATGACTTTTTATGCCTTACTATACTATTTAGTTTTTTTTACTTTTTCTGCCTTACTATACTGTGATCTTTTATGACTTTGTCATGATCCGGCTTGTGAGCCATGACAAAAAAAGTGGAGATACACAGAAACGTTAAAACTTAAGGAATTTATTCATAACAAAACAAGATAAATAATAACAACCAAGTCAAATAACTAAGAATTAGGCCGAAGCCAACCAAATCAAAGATGGGGTGCCGTCAGGATGGACCGAGAGAGTCACTGGGAGAGCTGACAGCCAGATCTTAAATAGGCCACCCACTGAGAGACTGGCCAGGTGCTCCCTGTTGGCCTAACTAGCCTCCACCTACCAGCGAGGTACCTGAAAGAAAAACAAAGAGAACACACCAAACAGGCCCTGCTAGGCAGGGACCATCACACCTTACTATACTATGACATTTTTATGCCTTCCTATACTATGACTTTTTAAACCTCACTATACTATGACTTTTTATGACTTTTTATGCCTTACTATACTATGACTTTTTTAAGCCTCATTATACTATGACGTTTTTATGACTTTTTATGCCTTACCATACTATGACTTTTTAAGCCTTACTATACTATGACGTTTTTATGACTTTTTATGCCTTAATATACTATG